GTGTCAGAATGGAGAGCAAACACAGCAGTGTTTTAGAAGCTGTTTAATATTTTAAGGTATAAATGCAAGAGGACTGTGATGATGTTTGAAAAGATAATGCTCAGATGCATAGTTAAAAATGCTGTAATCTTTTCAAGTCCATAGTGTTTCAGAAAGACCCTGTGTGTCAACGCATGGGAAGACATGGGTTCAGCACTGAATTAACTGAAGCAAGAAGTTAGAGGGCAGGGTGAGGAACTGCAGCGGGTGATCCAGGAAAAGGAACATGACAGATCTAATGTTAGAAAGAGGAGAGACTTCTCTCAGGGCAGCATTCACCCCATCCCAGCTCCCACCTTGCTCTGTGCTGCGTAAGAGTGATGCATTTATGAAGAATCACAAGTTACATGGGCCAGAGGTTTTTTGCTACTGCTTTGTCCCAAGTCTCCCTGGAATATAGTTTTCCACTACCATCTGTCATTTGCTGGATTTTTACATCTGTCTTTCCCTAAAAGTTACTCTCTCAAAGCACCCTGACATAAGGATCAATGAAAGCTGTGGACTGGGGTCTTGAGGAGCTTGAAAACTATTTTCCCCTTATTTAAAGCCACATCTTTTCCTTTCCTTGTTTTCTGCTGTCTTACTCCTCTTGAAGTAAGCATGAAGGCTTAGTTAAATTATCTATCTAAATGTAAAAGCACTGGTTAATCTACAGTCATTTTCATTGTCAGCTTAGTGTGATGATTTTCTTTTCTCTTCGCTTTGTACAAGGAGCCTTGGCACAACACTGACTCTTGACATTGAAACTCCCTTTGCCACTCTAAATGGGGTTACTCTCTTGCAGCCTTTTAGGTCTCCTTCATAAGCCTCCTAACCTTTGATGGGGCAGAAGGAAGGATGTTTGCACAACAGCCATCTGTCAGGGTCAATAGAAACCCCAGACTCGTATGGGCCTTAGAGACTGCTCCAGCCTTGAAGGCTTCACTCAGCAGTACAACAAACAGATGGTTTCCCTCTTGGACCTGGGACAAACGTGCTGCTTTACAGGACGTGGCAATGATTTTCCTCAAGTAAGCCTTCTGTTTAAAAAACATGAGCTATCTGTATGTCTAGGTCTGGGATAAATGCAATGTCTACCCCTTTATGTGTATGCTTTTATATATAAGGGAAAATGTAAATATTTATGACATGTTTTCTGAAAAGCTAGGTGTGCTGAGCGCAGGTTTCAATCTATTGCACTTTTAACCTCCACAGCTTAAAAGGAAACCAGCAAAGACAAGTGTTGACTGTACCTCAACCAATCTGTTTGATAAAAAACAACACTGAACATTGATCTATCAGTTGGGCTTATCTGGCTGCAAAGTAACTTATTTAATCAACCATAGTGTGTTTTATACCTGTGACTAAATGAATAAATTGGTCCTTACAGTTCCTTAAATCTCTATGTATAAATTCTCCATGTACAAATTTACTTAATATGGTTAATACTACCCCACGTATAAATTCTCTTATTTTATCAATTTATGTCGTTCTCCACGTATAAATTTACTTTGGGCATGCACATGCTTGCAGTGGCTTAGGAGTTAGCATAAACCTGCACCAAACTTTATGTACCATGCATTACACTTTCACACAGAAATAAGCAGCACAGGCTGAGTTAGCTCATCTGCAGAGAGTATTATCTCGGATGTAACCACATGTTACTGCATAGAGAAACCACTTATGGCTGGATCATTAACAGTTTTCAGATGCCTAAGACCTGTTAAAATGGGATCACCCTTCACCTCCACCTTCTCAGGGATTTTTATTTCATCTGAAAATAGTGCCAGGGGTTGAAAGTCAAATTTCAACATAACCATAATGTAAGCACTTGAATACAAAATCCTGGAGAACCACAGTGAAACATCTCCTTTCAATTAAGAGAATGGAGAGATCTCCTTTTGAATGGAGATCAAACAAACACCTCTGATTGTATGCTACTTTTTTCACAGTCTTCTGCAGTAGATATGGAATATGCAGAGGTGACAACTACATTATTTTTAGGACAATGGACCTCCTGGTGCTGGTAATCATGCTCACCCTCATCTTCCTTTACATGGGAACATGCTGTGATATGACTCACCTGAAGGTCTCTGGTACCTTGCTCCTCTCCCTTGCAGTGCAGTCTCACCTCCTTCCTAGCAGACATCCTTGCATTTGCAGGCAGCTTCAGCAGCTCTGCTCCACACCCATGCCTGGTAGGCAGCCGTCTTTGTGTATTTGGCATTTTTTCCTGACCATAATGTTTATGAAAAAGACAGTATTATTAAAGAGGACCAGCATAGAAATCCACCATGTGGAACTATTTTATTCATGGTGGAGAGGAGACCTGAAAACCAGAAAGCTCAGACATTTTAAATGCCCCATGGCATCTTAGATTTGCCAGACTCAGTGCACTACTTGGAGTAAGTCCCCTCACATCCTGAAAGTGGGATTTTTATTTAATGTAAGACTTCTAAGCAGGCAAACAACCCATCACATGTTATGAATCGAGACTAATAATAGTTTTGTTCTAGCAGAATGTCCTCAAAACCAACCCTACAAACCCACCATACCAGCCATTTATCAAACTTGTTTATGCTGGTATGAGCACAGCACCAGCAATCTGTAAGGAGCAGTCTTTTATCTGGCCACCCCTTCTATAAATCCAGTATTTTAACTGGTTCATAATGGACTGCTACTGAATGAGATCTGATTTTGGTTTTCAATTTGTACAGATTCAAAGCGAGTTCACTGTGAGCAAAATTACAGCTGGAAAAGAATCTTTACTAGCCACCACAGTGTTAAAAAGCCAGCTGTGCTTGTGCTGCAAAACCCACTGCAGACCTACTATTGACCAGCAAGCATAACATTAAGGGGCACCAGGCATCTTTCAAGAAACCAGTCTTATGCTGTGTGCTGGAAAGCTTCAGTAAGCCAAATATTCAGTATAGAAAAGGAAAGTTCTAACTGGAAAAAAGTATCAAAGGCAGGCCAAATTCTCACTGCCCTTTGGATACTTGAAAATTTGACCCTTGAATTGCAAACCAAGCCAGAAACAAACACAAAAGTAACAAATGCACAGGTCAGTAATGGCTATACCTACATAGATGTATGCATATATGTAAGTATGTGTCTGTGTATACATGTGTTTGTGTATTTGGTTTCTATTAGATTGTCTCCTCCTTTGCCATCTGTCAAAGCTGCATCTTCTGTCTTCTAAAGCACTAGCCTGGAAACTTTTAGACATGTGCTTATCTTTAATTACATGAGTAGTTCCCCAAGTGCTGATGGGAATAACTCACATATGAGGGAAGAGGGTTAAAGTGCAGATTTATTACAGACTCAAGACTGTTTTCCAGGCTGTGTTTGTGAAACAACTGAACAGGAAGGATTAGAAAGCTGGCAGGAGTCCCAGCCCTCTTACAAGCAGGACAGCAACTAAACACTTAAAAGATCAGATATGGGAGTAAATCTTCCATCACATCGGTGATGCGGCAGCCACTATGGAAAGACTGGGATAAATCTAAAGTGTTTCATGGCGTTGTGTGGTGCCCCACAAGAGGTGACTAAGGTTGGATGTGTGATCCTCCTGTGAGTGATAGGCCACTTTCCTCGTGAGTAAAGCTATCCTCTAATATTCCCAAAGCATCCTTGGGATCCAGTGGTTAGAGCAGGAAATGATTTTCTTATCCTCAGAGAATTTTTCCAGTGCTATAAATGACTGACTGACTTCTTCAATCAGGACAATGAAAACATAAAAAGGCAATCTTGAGCTGAGTTTCAAGTTATAATTTCTGATTTGAGCATTTTGTTTCATGAGCTTATTTTTCAGTGATCTCATTCTGACTTTCCTGCATTCATAGGAAAATAAGAAGTAACTTGTGCTTCTAAGTGACAAGCATCCCAGTGTAAAAATAGAGGGTGTTTTATCTAAACTTCACTGCAACAGAGAGGTCTTGACAATGTTGAAAGTAAAATCAGTCATACGGAAACAATTTTTTCCCATGAGCAGTTTGGGGGTTGTGTGGTTTTGAGGTTTCTGGGGTTTTTTGTCAGTCAGAAATCTTAATCTTGCCCAGAAGTTCTTCACATACTTTGCTTGGGAGCCTATGTTCCATTTTTTCAGGAACCATACAAGCGTTTATGAGCTTGCTTTTAAAAATGGGTCTCTGAGGCACCTAAACACACATAACTTACACTCAGCGAGGTGAGGAATGTGCTTGTCTCTCCCAGGCATGGATGGGGAAAGCTCACGGTCCTTCCTTTAGAGCATTTAAAAGCATGCTTAGCATTTTGTGGAGCAAAACACCTGAAACACACGGGATCAGAGAGTGCTGCACGTTCTGCAGGGCTGGCCATTAGCAGTTTCTCCCTTTGGGCTTTCTGTACAATATATTATTTATGAAAGAAACCTTGACCAATTTAAAGCACGCTGGTGCTGTTGAACTGCAGTCGCTGATGGGGGAAGAGAAGGAGGAGGTAACTACAGATGTGAGCTGTCACAGGTTTTAATGGTGTTTTAATAAAAGGGCACCGACAAAGGCATCTTTGTTGCAGATGAATACTGAGAGAGGGGCAGCTCACAGCCCCACCACTGAGTAAAGCATTTCTCCCAGAGCTTTTCCAACGTCAGGCGTGTTTGCGTATGTTTTCCCTCAGTTGAAATAACAGCTCCATCCAAAGGCACGGGCTAAAATAGGAGAGACTGGTCTCTGCTGGCAAACAACCGGCAGCCACAGCAGGCTCCGTAAATACCGCGCCTGTGTAACTGATTGTGGCCAGGTACGTACACAAACACGGCAGTCACCGCTGAACCCCGTCGCTGGAGACGGTGTCCATCACTTTTAGTGCTTGTGGTGCTGCTCCCAGACACATGCCCTGCCTCCTTGCTCCACTTTTATCCTCAGCTCTCCCCTGGGTCCCAGACAGCACCAGCCTCTCTCCCTCCCCTTGCCATTTTCTTCGCGCCTCCTGACGTGGCTACCGCAGCTTGCCTTTTGCCTCTGTGTGCCAGAGCTCCCGCAGCCTCCCCTGCCTCTCTCGAGCAGGAGAGATGCCCTCCTCGCCTTGAGGGGCTGCCCGTGTCCCCGCCGCTGTCCCCGCTCCATCGGCCTCAGCACTGTGCGGCAGGGGCGGTGATGCAGCCGCCCCGCGGAGGAGGCCTGAGCGCGGCGTTACCATAGCGACTCCGCACCACGCTGCCTAGATAAGGCGGGCGGCAGCGGCCGCGGCGCCCCAGCCCGGAGAGGTCCCGCTGCAGCCAGCCCCGACGGCTCACCGCGCCGTAAGTACCAGTCCTCTCCCGCACCGCACCCGCACCGCACCCTGCCCTCCCCTCCCTTGGCGCTCCTCTTGTCCTTTCCTTTGTTTCCAGCTCCAGCGAGGAAAAGTCGCCCCCTCTGTGGGGAGCGGGCTGGGGATGGTCCCATGTGGAGAAAGTTGGGGTGCGGCCGAGCTGAGAGTGGAAAGCATGGGTGGTGGGGTTACAAGGAGGACGGTGCTTTAGAGATAACTGCTTTAACTAACTTTAACTGCTCAGACAGCTTACAAGCAGCAGGGTGGGAACTGGCATCAGGGCTTCTTACCGCACTAGAGAGGGTTGGAATGGGTGAGTTTGTAAGGAAACAGTTACTGTAAGTTTGTTATCTTCAAACACTAAAAATTTGTGACCAGAACCTGTGCAGATGTATCTTACTATTTTGCTTGTTTAGTTTTTTTCTGTATCAATCAAAGTTTAACTGCTGGGATTTTCGTTTTTGAGAGCTGATGGGAAGCAGTGTGAGATGGTCCCAACCAGGGTTTTGAACTAGCCCATAGAAGCTGTGAGAGCAAACTACTCCCAGACAGTTCTGCTATTAGCAGCAAAAAGTTTTCAGTGGAGGGAGGTGCCTGGATTAGGCTTTCAAATACCAAAGTGTTTCCTAAGTGCATTTAAATACTTCTAAATAAATAAAAATCAGACTAATCTGACAAGAATACCTCGAAAGAGCAGCCTAGTGCCCAAATAGCTGAAGAAGCTCCGTGCAGCAGCATGATGCTGTCTTCTGTGCCCAGGGAAGAAGTCACTCCAATAGAGTAATGTTAATCGTATCGTAAAAGTGAAAAGTTTGGAATGCAGAGCAGGAACGCCCAGACTTTCTACTTTTAGGGCATCTATTTTCTACTCTGGGTAGAGTTTTCTACTCTGAGATGGGTTGCCTTGCTTTATTCACAATATTCGCCCAGGGACCAGTGGTAATGGGGCTAGGATAGGACCAATGTATAGGCTAAGGTGTGCATTTGCCAGTAAAGGAGACAAGGCTGCCTGCTGAGTGCAGATGGAAGGAGCCAAATCCAGATGATAGTCTCTTATTCCTTCTTTGTAAATGACTTCATGCAAATAAGGGGCCTACTCACGCTATGGAACCCCGCAGAGGACATGTGACAGAAGGAAGGACAGGTCTATCTTTCCCTGCCACGTAGGAAGAACGGGTAAGGATGCTGGGAGCCTGCCTGTCGCGCCTTGCTCACGTGCTCGTTGTAACCAGACAGAGAGGGGCAAAGCAGTTAAGGGTTATTTAGTAATCAAAACATGTCAGGAGACCATAAGTGTGTCTGTGGTTGGAGGAGAGACACCAGGCTTAAAGGGCAAATCTTATGCCTGGGCAGGGTAGTGAGGTGCTGCCCTTGGTGTAGGCTGGACTAACTTACAGTCCAACCTCTGCCTCATGTCTGCATGAGGCAGCACACTGTAAGATATTCCCACTTGTTCCCATTTCCAACTGTCAAGTGCATCAGCAGCACTAAGGCCAGGTGTCACCTATGGGAATATGGACAAGCATGTGTGTGTGCTGTCCCACCCCAGGGCATCAGTTGTCTCCATTTTGGTTCTCTCACCTCGTGGCAAAAGTGTTTATATGCAGTGCTCTGTGTCCATGAGAAGACAGGCACACAGGGTCACACAGGCTTCTGTGGCAACTTCATAATCAACCTACCAAAACAAAAATATTTATTAGATTCAGATTGCTTGCTTGTCACCCAACAAGGACACTCTCAAAAGTACTTTTATTCCTGTAGCACCCTTATCAACATGCCAGTGGTTTCTTTAATGACTATGCATGTCCTGCAAACTAGTGCATGTGTTTTTTTATTGGGGATTTGCTCAATTGTGGGAACAAAACATTCCCCTGGGGGGAAGGGATGGGGAGAGAGAAAAATCAAAACCCACATACCTGCAGACAATAGTCTGTGGAGACTTTACAAAGGGTTAGTGCAGCAATTCTAAGAATTCAACACACAAGGAAATGACATGCAGGTATAAAAACTCATGCCCTTAATATACAGTGAGGACTACTGACGCTGATGCTCACGTAGCCCATGTCAACTTTGATACTAATTGCAGATCAGAAATTCTTTTCTGCATCTTCTAGGTAAGAATGATTGGCTACTGATGTCTCATTTGAGTTCTGCATTGTTTCTTAAGACTGGATACAAATAGCCATAGGTACCTAATTTCCATCTAGCTGCATAGCACCTACAGCCATTCAAATCCTTTGAGAAGACAAGAAAGGGAGAGTTAACTTTCCCATATCCAAAGCCATTTCCATGCCTAGTTCAAGATCAAATGCAAAAAAGCCCAGCTCTTTAGTTTGATACTTGAAGCTTCAGTTTTCTGATCGATCTCATGAGATTTCATTTCACATTGGTTTAAATGTCACAGGATCAGATGGCTGCAAAAAAAAAAAAAAGCATCATTTTGGTAGAAATATGTGATAGTAGCTTTGCTGAGTATTCCCTAAGCTCTAGCCTAATTACTGGTGACAAATATCTACATTAATGCAGCTGCATGTACTAATCTGAAATAATAAACCAAAATTGGTTTCCTGGAACCAGTTACACTGGTGACTTTTGGATGGAGACTCACAATTTAAGCGAAAAATAGATACCCTATTATTTGCATTTATAGTGTTTTAAGATAGTGTTTGTGAGTGGTAGGAGCTGTACATCTGTCTCTGGATAACTTCATTTGGGCACTTTAATCAAGCGTATACAGCAACTGAGAACTCTGAAAAAAAAATCTTGAATGTGTTTTAAGCTACATAGGAATCCAAAGCAGACGTCTAAAAAGTGAAAAGGTCAGATATTTGTCATCTGAATCACCATCTCTTACAAGTGTGTATGCCCAAAGGAGTCCTGTTGCTACATGCCAGGGACTTCAGCATGAGACCTTATCCACATGAGGATGAAGAGGCTTTTACTCATACCTGCATTTTTCAGGCTGACTTATCATTCCTTGTTCTTCTCCGTCCCTAAGTAGAGAAAATCCTATTGAATGCCAAATGTTTTTACAAGGGGCAAATGTAAAAATGTGTAGGCAAAGCTAGAACTTGTCTCAAACAACAGATTGCTCAAACAAGTGGTAAATGCTCCATCCCTGAAAGTGTTCAAGGCCAGGTTGGACAAAGCCTTGGGCAGCATGGTCTAGTGTGATGCCCGTAGTTGGGGGTTGGAACTGGATGATCTTAAGGTCCTTTCCAACCCTAACCATTCTATGATTCAACCTTTAGGGAAGCATTTCAGGTGTTTATCAGCTCTGCCTTTTCCCAGAAGTAGGCACACATCTGCAGGGGGGTGGTACAGCCTAGCTGCCTTGCTCCAAAGTCCAGGCTAAATGACTGTTGAGTCCTAACTCATACAGAAAAATCTATATGCATTTCAGGAAGTGTCTCCCACTGGCTATGATTTAGAGCTCCACTGTAACCATTACAATTCAACAGAGGATGAATGTGGATCATTATATCAAGAGACATATGAGTGCAAGAAAAATCCCACCTTAGTCTGTACTGTGAATAGTTAACACTACTCACCAAGGTGACTGATGGCAGCAGAGAGCACAAACCATGTGTGAAGGCTGCTAGGATAAGGGTTTCATTTAACACACAGAAACTCAAGAAAGTGCTTCCGTTTGTAAAGGCGTATGAATGACTTCATACAGTCCCCCCTCGTCTTCCTTCCCATGTGAAAGGTTACTGGGGAATCTGTTTCTTTCGTGGTAGGAATTGATTTTAGTGGTTTGGGAAAGCACCATTACAGCACTCACATACATCACCTCTCCCTCGTACGAGCACTTTGTGTGCAATGCACAGTGACAGGATGCAACAGCACTCACAGGTTCACACATCATATGCAATGGGTAGACATCCAAGATACCAAAACTCATGACACATCTTGGTAATCTTTCTCTTTTTATTCTTTTGTCACACAGACTGTCACTATGTGCAGTGGGAAAACACTTGTAAGCGAAGCAAAGTTGGCTGCAAGCAAACTTTAAATAACAAAAAGGGCGCATGTGTCAGGAATTAGGCTATAGAGCCATATTTTAAAGCACTGAAGGTGCCAAGGGCTTGGCATCTGTGGCTATGGAAATGTGAAGACATCTAAGAGATTAATTTAGAATATAGTTTTTTCAAAGGAGTATAGTAAGAAAAATAACTAAGGAGGTCTCCTAGCTGGCATATAGCAATCCTACATTAAGACTCTTTACAAAGCTTTATTTTTATTAGGTGAAATAACTCAGCGAAACACTTCAGTGAAATCACACCAAAATTATTCATATTTTATAAGGCATTTCCAGTCAGTATAATTTACCACCAATCTTACATTTAAATTTTACAATCTAGTCTCAGCTTTTTTTGCCTCAAGACCTGTTCAAAACAAGTCCATAGCGTCTGAAATGGTATCCCTGATTTTACTGAAAACTGTCTAAAATGAGTACCCTTCAGGAAAGAACGTTTTTTCCTACTATGATAACATTTAGCCAGTGTGGCCTAATAAAATCCTATAAAATCAAATGGTATCGAAGAAGAAAACCTCCCTCATCACAAAATGCAGCGTGAGCCTTCATATGGCCAGCTCAGAAGTTTGGTTTTTTGCTTTAAATAAAATTGACTGCTTCATTTTAAGCATCCCATTTCATTAGCTATAGCTAATTTATACAGCGGCTAAACAGAGCAGCCATGCCATGCTAAGGTGCATTCAAAGGTTTCTTTATACAGGGTCTTCCCAAGTGGAAGGAAGATGATTAATGTTTTTCCCATAAATGCAGATGGAGTCTCCAGGCAGTGTAATCCTGTAGTACAGATGTGAGGCTGTACGGGGGCAGTCCTAGAGTAAACAGGCAGAGGTCAAACCCCTTATCCAGGCTTGATTCCATAAGGTATTCCAGAATTCATAGGATTTTACAGATGTTGAATACTGAAGGGTATGGGAGTTAATCCTATATGTACGTTATGAGTCAGTGTTCCTGACCTTTATTACTGTCAGCCAGTGTTGCTCTGCTTACTTTGAAGCCACTGGAATTTAGGACATGTTTGTTCATCCCCTGAAGAATTAGCTCAGTGAGTGATTATGAGTGCAACCTTTCACAGTTTGTTTGGAAGTCATTTAAGTGACTGGATTTTGCTTGAGGATTAATTGTTCCTTATATAGATGCAAGTTTAGTCATAGAAATGAGGTTGACTCCCCTACTGCTCTGTTTCTTGTTGACAGACAACCACTGCAATTTACAGAGAAGTAATATAGGTGATTTCTTTACCTCCAGCAGGATAAAAGCAAACTCTCTGTCGTGGTTTAAGCCCAGTCGGCAACTCAGCCACGCAGCCCACTCACTCACTCTCCCCCCCCACCCCAGAGGAATGGAGATGGTAATCAAAAGAATGCAACTGCCACAGGTTAGGATCAGAACAGCCCAGTAACTAAGGTATAAAACAAACCACTGCTGCTACCACCAGTAATAATAATGATAAGGGAAATAACAAGGGAAGAGAATACAACCGTGCTCACTGCCTGCCGACCAACACCCAGTCTGACCCGAGCAGTGATCTATCCCTTCCAGGTAACCGCCCCCAGTTTATATACTGGGAATGACATGCTGTGGTTGGAATACCTCTTTAGCTAGTTTGGGTCAGGTGTCCTGTCTCTGCTTCCTCCTGGCTTCTCCTCCTCCCTGGCACAGCATGAGACTCACAAAGTCCTTGGTTAGAGTAAGCATTACTGAGCAGCAACTAAAAACATCGGTGTTATCACCACTGTTCCCAGGCTGAAAGTCAAAAACACAGCACTGCACCAGCTACTGAGAAGGAGAAAAATTATGCTACTGCTGAACCCAGGACAGTACTCCTGTTTTTTCTCTTCCTCATTGCCTTCCTCGTCCCTACACATAAGCCATGGTCTGCCATTATTCCCTGAAAATGGAGAACAGAGATTGTAAATAAGAAGCTACCCCAGCTGTTGCTGGCAGAAGGGACATACCAGGATCACACAGGCTGCACCTTCGGGTGGAAGGTTTCTTTTCTTTTAACACTGCTGTAATGGGTTTCTGTTAAGCAACCATAGAAATGGTCAACAGTAAAAAATGGTCTAATTTTCTTCTTCCTGTGAAGACATCTAGGGTGGCCCCAGTGAGCAAGTCTGGGATCAAATCTTAGCTTGGGAAATGCTGGAGGAGCTCAGGTAGGAGGCTGGCCTCCAGGATCCTCTACAATTGTGAGAAAAGGGGAATAAAAGAGCCAAAACAGCAATTTAGTGGGTCTTACAGAGAACAAGCTTTTAAACAGGCTTCTGAAACAGGCTCCTGTGATCTTACCAAGGTGATTAGTAAGTGTACTTCATGCTGGCTTTGGGGTCCATGTGCACTGGCCATCTTTCAGAGGCAGCACTCACATGTGGGTCTTCAGGGGTATCAAAGCTCTGTTAGAGGAGCTGGGCTTGTAAGAGTAACTCAGCAGAATTCATTATTAAGGTAAGTTTGTATGATAAACACCAAATATGATCCTTAGTATAGAGCTGGGGAAAAATGGAAAAAAAAACAGAACAAACCACCTTATTTCCTAGCATATACTCTGTGTATGAGACAGTGCTTTCTATATGCTCAAAGTCAGTATTCTTCTATAAAGCTGATGTATTTCCCATACTAGTGTGGGTTGCTTACAGCAAGCTAGGTGGAAAAACAGGATAGGTAATATGTGTAAACAAGGCAAAGGCAGTGAATAAATGTATCTCTTAGCACATGTGAACCAGCAGACTGCATGACAGAGAGCAGCTGGAAGACAAGAACTTCTCATGATCTGGCTGGCTAGCAAGTGGATACATAACACCAATATGTCTGATTTATGTCAGGGTGCAATTTCTTTTCCTTCTCTCCTGGTGTAGTAGCTTCAAAGGGGAAGAAAAGCCCATTTCAACGATGTCAACAGAATGTGTTCAGCCATTTGATATCCCAGAAGACAGACTGGACAAGCGAGACTCACACTGTAACCATTTAGGTAAGTGTTATTAGATGATGTCATTGCATTAATTAGAGAGGTGTTGTCTTCACATCATTAGGCCCTGTCCAGTGTCCATTTTTCCCCTCCAGCAACAAAACTGAGCCCTCATGAAACCCGATAGGTTGCACCTTCTGCTGACACTTCTGATGCCAGATGGAAAGGCAAAGAGAGCTCTTCCTGCATATAAAAATCAGCTGAAGCTCGAGAGCAAAGCTAATTAAGGAGGAGAAAGAAAAAAAGAATCATTGTTCTTTCCCCTGGTAAAAAAGGTAGAGCATTTTCTCCACTGTAAACTAAAAGCTGGGATACGGCTGAGCCTTCCCTGAGCACATTTTATAGATGCAGTCTCAGTAAAAGATTTCAGACACCTCCTCCCTTTGCCTCCACTGAGTCTGCTTTCTGAATGCTTTTCCCCTTCATTGTCATTGTTTCCTCTCTTGAACCTATTTCATACATAACTTTTGCACTGAGAGCACCAGAGGCATCGTTTCTCCGCCACACTCCTAAATACCAAGCTTCATACTTGATAGATGTGCTTTTTTGCATATTCATGGTATTTTGCCTCTGCTTCAGATTCTGTTACTTCACTCCTGCCTTGCAATATTGTCATGAAGATTTAGCAACCCAGAAACAAAAACCTATTTGCTTGTTGTTACCCTTGTGATGACAATAACAAAACACAAATGCAATTTTACTTCCTTGTCAAAAGAAGTGTCTCGCTGCAGGCAAGCACAACCTTATAAACTTTGTTTATCTGGCCTGCAAGGAAGGTATCCTAGTTCTGCTTCTGCCACATGGCATTCCTAGCTACGGGCACCACTTATACAATTGCTGGTATACCAAACATAATTGTTCTCATTCTACAGCTAGGAAACTGAGGCAGCAGGAGGTGAAATGATCTCATTAGGACCATGCAAAAAGTCTGTGAGTGCCAGAAAACGACCCCACATCTTCGCGGGGCTTCACCCTGGAGGTTACCCTTTCCATGTTTATCCCCACTTAGAACTGTACACTGCCTCAAATAGTGTGAGAGAGCCTGGAACGAAGACTCAGCTGAAGCCAAACAAGCAGCTTTTTAAGAAATCAAAGCATTGGTTTGTGTGATGATACCAATCATGGAATCACTTAGCTTGGAAAAGGCCTTTGCAATTACTGTGTCCAGCCATACACTTAATACTGCCAAGTCCACCTCTGAACTGTGCCCTAACTGCCACATCTACAGGTCTTTTTAATACCTCCAGGGATGGTGACTCAGCCACTGCCCTGGGCAGCCTGTTGACAGGCTACCATCTTCAATATTTTTGGCTTGCATAAGCACCCAGAAATGACTATTCTTGCAGAAAAACAGTCTGGGTCAAGGGAAAACCAAAAATCCAGTGCAATGTTACATAAATCAAAACTGAATACCAACTGCTCTGGAAATAAAGCCAAATCTTGAAGGGAACAATATCCTGCCTCGGCTTACCAATACCTCAGGCTGACCACACACATGTAAATCTTCCCTTCACAAAAGTGCCCTTGTAACTCTTGAAGACACAGCCTGCACAGTTAGTGCGGGATGAAAACAGGGATTTCTGTGGGACCCCTGCACACCATGGTACAGCTTTCCCTCTGCCACGTAACACACAGCTGCCCATAGTCTCTTACTCTGCTTTATGTCTACCACCTACGACGCAGAAGGACCACCTAAGTCACTTGACTCCCATATAGTACGGCACATAGGCCTCTTGTGCTGATGTTTTATTTAAGAGATGTTTCTCCACAGGCATTATAATTTACTTGGATGAAGGCAGTATTATTAAAGCTTTTCTTTTTACCATCTGGTTATTTCCACTCAGTTTCATGGTTTTTCACATCTTTTTTTCTTTGTTTTTTCCTCTGCAGAAGATCTTTCAGAGCAGCTGATTCAGAGCTGTGACCTCAAAAAGAAACCAAGAAAAGGGAAAACCATCCTGGCTTCCCAAAACACTGAACAGGACCAAAAAAAGCCAAGGAGAAAAGATACACCGGCTTTGCACACCCCACCACCTCTAACAGGTGAACAATACATCTCTTGATTTAGGAATCACAGTTCAGCTAAGGGGACTGAGTCCAGGCAAATGTCTGCAGATCCCTCATTCACTTATGTCCCCTGGATGTGGGCAAGAATGCAGCTCAATGCCATGTGCATAGTGGTGCTGCCTGTATATGACAAATGATGTGCATTTGTCTGTAGCTGCTGAGCCATGCTTTATGTCCCATTAAATTCAGTTCAAAATCAAAAAGGATCTAGTTCAGCGCCTGTGCTTTCTGTGAAACATGTACCCAGTGCTCAGAGGGCGGTTGACCAGGGATGAGGCTGGGATGAGACCTGAGGAGCACACAAGCCAGCTGCAGGATGCTCCTCCTAGAAATAACAGGGTCTTGTGCTCATGGGGACTCTGTCAAGGGCCGGGTGTTTCCGGAAGCCAGAAACCACTGCAGCAACAAAACAGCTCCTTGTAGGATGCTCCCTGCTGCTGTGCATTTACAGACCTCTGAAGTTTGAGAGGCAAATGCCACCAACCTGGGGGAGGGAAGAATGAGCAGGAGACTGCCACTGAAACCTGATGACCTTCCAAGTCAGCAGTAGGAATAAACGTTTGTCACTTCTCTCTGCTAACAAGCACTCCTTGTGCTCTCTGGGGAGAGAGCTGTGCTCTTACATCCACTGCATCGAGTTCTACCCGTATTGCATATATACAGAGGAGTTAGCCAGTAGCTACCTGCATGGTTCCCTGTGTACCAACAATAAATCACCAAGAACAAGCTGGGATTTGCCAGTATTTGTAATCCAGACATTGACTGTTCAGCTCTCATTTGTATCATCTCCACAACAGTTTCCTCTTAGGGAAGAGTGGTTCAGAGGCTAGACAGCTGTGTTTTGTGCCTGTAGTAGCCATACCATAAGGCATTATTTCACTGGTTAAAATAGGCCCTTTCTGTCTGGTCACATTGCTCCCAAGCAAAGGCTTTAAGCATCCAGATGATTGAGCTACTTTGGTGAGATGTTTAAGTTTCTGGAATAGAAGATTGCCCTCATCTTTACCACGATTTCTGATGGGCTGCAGTTTAGTGCATTAGGTACAACCAGAAGCCAGCTGGCCTGATAGCATCACTGTCATCAGCCTATGGGATAAAATTGAGTTGGAGGAAACGTATACCATTGCAAAACCTGAAGAGTAGGTACACTATGCAGAGCAGTGCATGCACTCGGCACCTTATTTCAGAGTAGTCTGTGGGAAAGTTGCACAAGTGCCTATTTTCTCCGATGTGAGCAAGTCTTAAGTGACATTTTCTTTTTCGTTGTGTTTTTTTCCTTGCCTGCAGGCATACTTTCAGACTTTTCTGATAGTCTGCTGAAGAGGTATGGCATCACAGAGAAGCCACAGCGAGAGAGAGTGAATCCAGGCTCTCAGATCACTGAACTGGAGCAGAAAAAGCCCAGGAGAAAAGATACACCTGCAATACACATCCCACCTTTGATTATAGGTAAGAGAATATTTATCTTAAAGAAGTCCTCCAAAGAGGAAGCAAACAGTGGGTAGTGCCACAGGTGTGTTTGGGAGGAGGCTGGAAGGAGGTTGCTAGGCCCAATGTACTTCTCAGTTCCTGCTGAGCTGGACCTATTTGGTAAATGTATATAATAGCAGCGGTGGCTCATGGAAAGTCTTTTCCGTTTCCCCTGCTTATGCTCTGGGGGTAGAAGGGAAGGGAAGTAAGAGAAGACATTAGGTCACTTGATTATCTGCAGACACGATGCTACTTCTGCGAAAAACCAACAACCGCCCTGCTTTTCAAACCTGATCACATGCAAATTTTTAGGTCACCACCACTAATAGTGACTCATGCTGCCTTAAACAACCTGCAGCAAAGCTGTCCCAATTAACCTTCTCTTAATTCCACAGTCCCTGACTGCACTTAGGAAACCAAACTGTGATGAACTTCTCATTAACAGCACCTTAAAGGCAGCTCTGTGCTCCTGGCATAACACAGTGCAGCACCTAATTTGCTTGGTGACCACATGAAGTCAGCCAGCCATGTTTTGGTCCTTAAGACCCTTTGTCACATTTCCCACACTCCTCTATCACAGAAGAGCCTCAGTTCATCAATCCTTCTGCAGGTGCAGATGTTAATTATTAATACTAGCTAGGGATGCAGCTTTCAGTTGCTTTCAACCATACCTCCAACAACTCTTGCCTGCTGGTGAATCCATCCTCCAGCACTCAGCATGGATTCAAAGCAGCCTGCTAAACACCGCCTCTCCTTGCCCACAACTTTTCCAGATCCAGTATTCTGGGTCTGTGTTCCAGTGACTGACCACCTCTGACAGGCTTATGCCTGTAATGGGGCAAAGTAGCCTGTGTGTTTGAATGCCTGAATTTCACTCCCTCCTTGCTCTGAGGATGCATATTTTCATTTCAAGATGCATACCACCATAGAGCGTTCTGCTGGTTGAAATTTGCCAGCAGTGTTTCCATGACTTGCTATGAAAAAGTGACTCATTGTGGCTAAGGACTGCTCCAATATTTACTACTTGTTTACTTTCAGGGTTATCCCATCAGGTAGCAGACAGAGCACAAACAAACTGAGCTCTCTTGTGAAACTGCTGTGCAAAATAGAACCTGAATTATAGACTCAGAGACCTGAGAAGCCCCAACAGGGATACGTGTGCTAAATAGATATAGACAGGCCTTTCTGTCCCTGTTCCCTGTTACTGGCCTTGTTTGCATGTGTGCTGCATGTATCCCTTGTGACCTGCTAATGAGGATTGTCCCCATTTCTACCATTTCTCCTTCAGATCCCTCCCAAATGCCACTTTCAGATGACAATTCAAAAACTCCATTTAATTGTTTGTAGTAACAGAGCTTAATTACTAGATTATCTTTTTAAGCAGCTGTCCACACAAATAGCTTTGCTGTAAATGTAGCTAAGAATGGCAGCTGTGTTATCTTTCTCCCTTTTGACCAGCTGGTTAGGAGCACTCTAGGACAGTCCCTCACCCTCTTGGGTGCTCAGAGAGATTTTTTACCACAAATAAAAGTAAGTCAAATAGCCCATAAAATGTGATATAAATCAATGTATCTACTAGATGTCTCATGATCCAAGAGAGTAGAATCAGTTTCACACCTTGTGAACACCCAATCCAAATAGGAGATGCAGGTACAGAAAGGAGGCTGCTAAATCAGGACCTTAAGCTCCTTTCCAACCCTAACTATTCTATGATTCTATGATCTGAATGTTACTCTATCTGGAGAAATCCATGGCTACCTGTTGCCCACAGAAGGAGCCTAAGGAAGTCAGTCCTTAGCCAGCTTAAATGTCTAAGGATGGGCATCACAAAACTCTCCCCTAGAAGGGTCAGACTTCTAAATGTACGTAACCTTCAAACTCTTACTGAAGTAGCATGTTGTTCCATGTGTATAAAAATGAGCCACATGCAGAGGTCATCTCCAATGGCCAGCTCCCCTTCGGTCAGCCAAGACCTTGTCCTTCTGAAGGGATTAGACCAGAAGACAAAATACAACCACCATTCTAATGGTGTTTTTTTCAATCTCACATGACAGCAAATGATTTGAATCTGATCCAAGGCCTGTACTCAGCTCTGGGAAGCTCAGTTACACATCCCCACTTAGCAATACATTCAATTAGCTGAAGCATTTCTGAGAGCTCTTCAGGCCTGTGGGTTTGAGCAAGAATGTAAATACATGTGTAAATATGGGAACATGGTTCCTGAAATACGGCTGCTTGGGGTTTTTTAATCAGATCAGAGATAACTCGTAAAACCACAGTTTCAAACCCTCGTTCTTCCTCATGCCCTAGAAAACCAGTTAAGGTTGTTTCTTTAGGATAATATCATCCTTCCCCCCTAAACCTCTGAGTGACACAGGGGAAACACAGCAGTGTAATGCCCCCTCTTGCCCTTCTCCTGTGCAAGTGATGTGTCTGGAGCACACCAGTGCTCTCCCAACCCAGCTGCAGGTGTTGTCTGTAGGTAGTCAAGTGCACCTGGTGCAGTCTTGGTGGGTTTCTGATTTTATAACCCAGGAGAAGTGGCTTAGATCTAGGTGGCACCTGGCAAATGGATGATTTAAGCCAATTTCTTCTACTGCCTGGGGTTGAGCTTCATAACAGAAGCTCTCATATCTCTGTGAGCCTTTGAGGTCCTAGTCCCTAACTCAAAGTTGCAAGGGGTTGCAAGTTGTGTTGGGAAAACATGACTACATTGCATTTCTACTGTGCTTTCTGAAGTCAGATCACTTGGCAGACACTAACAGAACCACCTAGCAATCCTTAAAACAGATCTGCAGGATGAGCTGCATTTCATAACACACACAGCTGGGAAAACAGGGGCAGAGAGGTTAGGTGATTTACTTGAACAGTAATCAGAGAAGCACTGACTTACAAACGTTCCCCAAATCCAACATCCTGCTCCTTTAAGCCCAGAATTCCCGAACCGCATTCAGTAAAGCACACTTTCCCCACAAGTGATCAGTGGCATTATATCAAAGGAAAAAAATCCTTTCCCAGTGTTACAAAAATAACTCTAATTTCGACATCACATTTGTATCCCCTTTGCACTGTTTTGCATTAAAAGGCTGATTTTTAAGGCATGTTGTCCTTGAAGTTACTGGTGGGCTGGAAAGTTAATAACCTGCAGCTCTAGGCTACATCCTTCTCTGAGCTTTAAATCCTGAGCTCTACTGGAAACTTTTGGAGTTCATCAGTCACGAAAGTGATTTATTGATAATGATGCATTATCTTGCTATTGATTGTGGTAAGTGTCTGGCATGCTACTGATGTGGGTCCAGCTGAGAGCTGGGGACCTCTGCTTGGCAGCTACCTTCCAGCTGTCTCTAGCATCTGCTGCACAAGGGCTGGTTTATGTGCTATAACCATCAGAATTACATAAATGTACTTTTCCTTGCTCACTTTATAATTTAAATAAGAGAGTGTACATGATCACAAGGCACAGCACACAACTTTACTTAACTTACATTCCTGATCCCTTATTCCTGACTTCATCCCCAAAACAGGTAAGCTCTCATCAAATGATCACTGTAGCTAAGATTTTAAGCATATTCGAGTTGTGTTTTCCTCATTCCTCAAATGTTCCATGAAGAAAACCACCACAAAAATACCCCACTCCCCTCTAAAAACACACAACCCAACCCCCAAAGACAACAGTGGAAAAAAGAAGTGTCTGTATTTGCCTATGTGAATAGAAGTCTGGGTGGGGAACAGTCACATCCATCCCTTAAAGCAGCATATTCTTCGCAGTTAACAATGGTGTTTTCTCAACTGTTGCTTGAAAAAATGAAGACTTTTGTGTTTCAAAATAGTATTCATTCGTGCCTTTCAGTTTATCCCATGGTTTTGCTGAAACCAGCTGGTTCACAAGAACTGCATATAAATGAAGCAGGAGCTAACTTAAATGAAAGGCAGTGTAAGTTAATATTTCCATTAACTCATAAGCTCTTGACAAGCCTCCAAAGTTGAAGAAAATCTTCCTGTGTGGTACTGCTCTATTTTCAGACCTCACCAAGACTGAAAGCCTTCTCTGTGAGAGGGCTTTTGATGCAGAAAGAAGCAAAACAGGTTGGTTTGACAGAACAACTCAGCTGGTTAGCACAGACTGAGAGCAAACAGTAGGAGACTGAATTAGGGTGAGATTTTGTTGGTCTCAACACAATGGTAACCCTCATCCTGTTTTTAGACTATGTTAACCTCCACACCAAGGAATGTAGGCATAAAATCTGTCTTACAGGCAACTTGTTTTTTTACTGGCAACAGGCAAAACCAACACAATATGCTAAAATAGAGATCAAGAACATTTTCTAGTGAATATATTGTCCTCTTTTCACTCTATTAATTTAATCTCTAATGAGGAGAACAGTTACAATAATTGTGGTATCTTGGTGTCACATAAAAGCCTCAAAATCCTTAAGGGGTGGACTTACTGCTTTTATAAGGGAGAGAAAGAGAGCTAGAAGGGAGAGACAGATTTGTGGAAGGTATGACCCAGAACCTCAGTCCTTTTTCACATTGATCTTAATTTGGTTGCTTTTGCAATTTATTGATAATATATAACTTCAGTGGGGATGGCACTTGGCATGTGGGTATTCTAATACTTGGCTCTTTTGGCAAGATCTAAGTAATAATGCTATGTACTTACAGAAAACATACACACATTCACATAAGCTGACTCAGTCACAAAGATCAATCACAGTATTTATTTCATCATGTAAGCTCTTTTTTAGCTTCCCACACCCCTTTGACAAACAGGTTCCCAGATGAAACTTGGTGTCTCTTTCCACAGGTAGCAGGAGTAACTCCCATGATGTTGGAAAACCATATTAGCATCAAGAAATTAGAGAGGACTGAAAAAAATCTTATCTGGATATTTTCTAAAGAATCAATATTTTAAATCAACTTCTTTTTTCTCTCTCTTTTTCCTCCATCTTCTTTTTGTTTGTTTGTTTTGTTTTCTGTGTCCTTCTGATTTTAAGGCACTAAGCTGCTTACGGAAGAAAAGCAAACAGTGATTATGGAAGATGAAGAAAAGGATGGAGATGCAATCCCCAGTTAAGATTACAGTGATATTTCCAGTAATGCAGTGTAAATAATTCTGGGTCATTCAAAGTGGCAGTACATAGAAAGTAAAAAAAAAAAAAAAAAGTCCTTTCATTTTTATAGATAATAATTCTCTCAAGCATGCACTTGAATTTAAATTATGTTCAAGTGCTTATCTGCATCTCATGGAATCCCATCAAGCATCATAGGAGATGATGGCAGAAATTTCACTCACACGTGGAAGGATTCACTCAGTTTGCTAAAAGTGGCTTCCCAGGATTTTTGTCACTGAGGAATCCACCTTGGATCAGAACGAGCTTTGTGCATGGTGATAGGGGTTAATACAAAGGGACACCACCAGTCAAGTGTACCTGGCACTAGGTACCAGAGCGGTTGGTAGCACAGAGCAATGAAACATCAGCAAGTGATTCAGACAGCATTTTTCTCCTGGTAAGTTCACCTCATTTGTCCAGCTTTCCTCTGCTGGAATATCATTGACCACAGTGAAAATTCGCACCTGAAAAGCTGATGGGATAGATGGAATCAATGCTAGAATGCCTGAAAGGCAAAGCACACACTTCTTCTGCCCGTATCTGCTCGTGACTTGTGTTTGTGAGGAGAAAAGAGAAGATTTACCATAGAATGAAAACTCAACAGCTAAGGGCTGTCAGCACTGACACATCAAACAGGACAGAAGCAGAGCTCTCAGAGAAACAGGGGAGGTGCAGTGCCTGCCTGTTACACCAGTGTAGACCATTGTGGGTTTTTTTCCTCTCAAAGGTTTTATTCCTGGGTTAGTGAGAGATAAACTTATTCTCCATGGCTTTTCGCTCCTTATTTTTTCTTTTAACATCTGCTTTTTAACTGAGTCCTAGGTTGTCAGTTAGGAGATTGAAGAAAATCTCCTAACTGACAAAAATTAGATTAAAAATCACAGCAGGAGAGTAAAAATTGAGTAAAAAGTGTACTGTTACTCAATGGCATACACACACTGCAAGGTGGAACAGCACCGTGCTTTTTTTTAACAGTTTACCTCATTGGTTCAATCAAGAATTGTTTTCACACCCAGCTACAGCCTTCAGCACTGGTACAAACAGAGACAGGTACTTGTAGAATATTACACAAAATAGGTAGAACTGGGTAGTTTTGTGCTTACCTTAATAGCTCTGTGCACTAGATGGGGCAGCGCTGCTGGCTGGACCCTTAGGGACCTCAAAAGATTATCTCTCCAGCCTGGCAGACTGAATTTAGTTGTCATCTTCCTAACATCCTTAGGCAGACAGCTAAGGAGCACACTAGTTTGGACTTCATCTGCCACAGTGACTGACCCAGCATCTTTCACGAGCATGCAGTCCACTCACAGGTATTCAGCTTCAAGATGTAATCGACAAGCTTATAATAAATAATCATGCGTTAAAGTCTACAATAGGCCAGCTATGTTATTGATGGGATGACTGGCATCTAGGAGAGGTGTTTGGTTTTTATCCTGTTAATCAATCAGCCAGATGAGCTAATATTTTGAAAATAATCAATAGTTCATGTAACAACATTCATGTCAGGTCCATAGTAAAGGATGTCACAGCAAGAGCGTAACAAGAGGTACACATGATTCAAGTCAAGCTTTACCAGTGAAGTTGGTGAACATTTTCAATGCACAGTACAGCAAGAGTGAGAGTGTGGAGTCCTGAAAAGATGCAAATAGGCAGTGGATTAGCTGAAAAATGTACATGTTTAGATATGAAGACCTTTACCGATACAAAGCAGGAGCACAAACAGGATATGACTGACTTCAGTGCTCTGAAGATTTGTGTCCAAGCCTGGGGAATGCTGACACAGCTTAATATGAAATAAAAAGACCCCCCCTTTAAGCCTAGCACTACATGTTCTTCACCAAAGAGGAGTTATGGTCCCAGTGACATCTCTGACGGCACAGCAGCATAATTTACCATCCCTGCACAGATCAACTTGAGCCCAGGCGTAAAAAATGCTGCAACATACATCATTTGCTGCAGTTCATTTAAAATCGCATATTCATAGCCTGGTAATTCAGCATTTACTGTTTTTTCACCCAGGAGCAACATGAGCAACTAAAAAGTAATTTTTCACTTGATCAATTAAATAAATAGGGGTTTTTTTTCAATGTTCCTGGGAAGTACTGGCAAGAATCATTTCTCAAAGCTTTCACCTGCCTCACTGCACTCCGTGAAAGTGTTAAATGTTACGTTATATGGCAATCAAATATGATCTTTTTCCAATCAGATTAGCATTGCCCCTTTCCCCAGAACAAAGCCTCTAGGTGTTGCAGAAGCGTGTGTGGACTCTACAATGGCCTGAACGTAGTTTATTGGGTTTGTTTATTGCCTTTCGGGCTCTGAACCCTCCCTTTAAGACCAGACAATGCTAAAACTGCACAGATTGCTCTCCTAGGCAAATGGCTGGAGTTGGTGTGCTCTGGGGCAGAAATGTTTTTGTACCCAGTGCCCACAAGGGTCCCCCATGGCCATTACAGCAAAACCAGAAGGAAACAGCACAGAAACGGGATAAGCCTTTCTACGGCACTCTTAGGACTGGGATGCTCCAGACTGAGGTTGTTTACAATGCGTGCACATAGGCATGGGCTGCTTGAAGGCCTTAATAGCTGGATTGCATTCAGATATTTAGCTGGAAGTGCATCTCCCCGCAGAAGTCTGCACCGGCCAGGACAACCATTCCAAGTCCTCAGAGGGAATGAAGTGCTCCAGTCAGTGGGTAAAAGACTGACTGCAGTCAGGAGGCTGTGAATGGATAATATTTTTGCAGGAAATTCTCTATTAACCTCTACCTAAGGGACAGGTCTCCATTTACAACAGACTTGGAACAAAGGGATTTAATGGCCTTGCACTGTCAACAAAGGATTGCAGAAAGCCCATCACCCAACAGAAGAGGATGTATTTCTGTAGTGCCAACCATGAGGTGCAGAGGTTAAGTGGTTTGCCCAGCTAAACCTCAGCAGAGACAAATCCAAAGCAACATTCATGATGCTATCACTAACACTGCTCACAGCTAAAGCAGCATTTGCATGCATTGAGGTTAGCAACACAGTGAAATTTTATCTGGTTGAAATTTTGTCTTACCAGTTAATAAATCAATAATTGTAGAATGCTTCAACCACTTAAATAATAGATGTGGCTGGTTATTATAACTGATTGTCTTCCTGCATGTCCTATGTCATTCCTGCCTTCGGAGATTACATTTTCTATGCATAACCTTACAGTATATTTGTATGCAGAGAGACTGCCCAGCATTTACATCTACAAGCCAAAATCAGAACTGCATGTCAGTGAAGCAAATGAGATTCTGGCTTCTCACTTCCATTTAGATAAGTTCATAAACACAAATCATTCTGTTACTTATATCCCCCAAAAGCCGCAGGCCTCTTAGAGTGAGGCTGTGCAAACAGAAATACCAGTATTCTGGAAATGTAGTTCTACAGATAGAAATAGTGAACATTAAAAGCCAGTTTCTGCTCCATGACACTGGCTCTTGGTCCTGTGGGAGAGACCCACATCAGTCTGTTAGATTCAGGAGCTGTGAAGGGAAGCTTAATCCATCCTTATACCCAACATCCTGGAGAATCCTGAAAAGACATGGACTTTGATGGAAAAGCAGCAGCAAAATTGGAAAGTACATTCCAGAAACAAAAGAAGCACTTTTGGTGGACCATTTGTGCTTATTCTTACAGGTGTAATGAACCTGTAAAATGCAAGCTGTGCATTTATAACATTGCCATGAGCGTTGGATTTTTCCAAGCTGTCGAGTCTTTTCCAACCTTCAAAGTAGGTTTTAGTCCCCCAGGGTCATAGCATCTAGGACAAAGTTATACCTGTCCCAGGTTTGGTTTTCTGTATTCTGTTTAGCCTGCAGGAGAGAAATCTTACAGGGATCTTATCAATGTATGTAAATGTCTGATGGGAGGGAGTACAGAAGAGGGAGTGAGGCTCTTCCCAGTGGTACTCACTGACAGGACAAGAGGCTTCCTCATGACCTAAAGAACTGGAAAGGTCCATCTAAGCTGCTGAGCCACAAATCCTCCTCCCTCTTCCTCGTTCCCTTTCTCCTTTATCTCTGCTCTGGCTGCTGCAATTGCCCTTGAGGATGTTGGAGCCAATTTTCCTTTCCAGTCCCTGTTTGTGTAGATACAGAAATACATGGAATATAAGGAATGAATACTCAAGAGTCTCCCCATGCCTCACTCACTGCGGATTTTGACATTTAGATTTTTAATTCAGCCTTAATCCCTTTCTAAAATAATAAACAAACAGCTCCCTCACAAATAAGAAAGCACCAAACTTTCTTGCCATAGCAACGTGATCCAGTGATTAGAGCAAAGACTCAGTTCACAAACAGCATAAAGAGAATAAAAGGCTAAATTTGCAAGTGTTGATAGTTGCAACAAGTAATTCATAACAAGTTGAAATGGCATCATAAGTCTGAGCTGCTCATAAGACTTTCCAAGAGGGACAGATTACTCAGACTTCTTTCTGTGTTGGCATTAAGTATTTGTCTCAGAAATTACCACTGCAGACAAAGGCCAAGTGTGTGGCAAAGCCAGACCTCCCCCAGGTAACACAGATTTCATTGCTGAACTTCACTCTTAGAACATTTCCCTTCGGTGTACACTAGATGTCAGGGTTGGACTGAAAGGATGAGCCCATCCACTCCACCACACAGCTCTGTGCATCCGGCCGGGTGCTACCAGAACAACTAGCTCTGCTCAGCAATTGCTCTACCTGATATTTACAAGGAACAGTCTGCACAAACATCCTCTTCCTCCCTGCTTTACAGTATTTTGTTTAGGCCAAAAGCCTCCGGCTTTGGAAGAGGGAAGAGACATCCTGAGATCAGAACTACACTACATTTGTGGGAGTCACATACACTCCCCATGACACCTCAGGTAAGTTGTTTCATTCCCCTGTGCCTTGACTACACAGCAGTACCTTCAGAACAGCAAGTTACCTCTGCTTCATGGCAAGGGAGGGACTGTGGACCAGGAGTGCAAAGACAAAAAAACACAGCCTTTATGAGATGCCAGTGACACAAAACCAATAATCCCAATAAACTGTTGGTCACAATGAAAGGCAAATAAGAAGAGGATCCCCTTTTAATGCCCCAGTGCTGTCCACTTGTCCATAGAACAGTTAGATGGAACTCTGTTAGGTAAAGTATTAACCAAAAGTGTCCTAAGGGGAAGGAATGACACAGCCAGAAAACATGTTTGGAAAGACAGTATAATTTTACATTTCTACACAGCCTATTTCTGTAAAACATTTCAGGGAATTCTACAAGCAAAGCACAGTTCTCGGGAAATTCCTAGAGATAAATCACATTTATAAGCAGGCAGCTTTAAAGTGCATCCCTCTTTGCGTTTGGCTTAGGCAGTGACCCAGCCCAGCTGCTGAAGTCACAAGTTCTGATGGTGGTTAAGGTCAAAATCACAGACATGAAGCACAGGGAAAACACGATAAAAATAAAGGAAAGAAATAAGGTGCCATTGGAGCCCTCAGGCAGCAAAACACTGCAGAAAGGCATCAGGCCTCAAGGGTGAGTGTGCATGGAATTGTACTGATCCTCTCTAGGGGAACAAGGGACATCCTAAACACTGGGAAAACACCCTGTCCCTTTTCAGCCACGATTTTAATGTGACCGTCACACAACAGTGCTACATACACCAGGTGGTACAGTTTTGATGTCGGATATAGTTACAAACCTGTAGTGTGTGTAACAGACTGTGATTCGCAGCAAGTGAACTATCTACAACAGAATCAGCAGCGATACTGCTGATCAGAGGAGTCAGCCTAATTCTTACAGGAGAAATTTTGCCTCACAAATCCTTGAGACTTCCTTGGAGCAGCCCAAAATGGTTTGCAGTTTTCCGTTTTGACAAGGTGCTGCTCCAAAGGATGTCATGGATTGAAAGAAGATCATAACTTACAATATTAAGATGGGTAAATAACCGGTTAACAATGGGGGAAAGACAAAAGAATAGAGAGTGAGATGAACTGGTCAGCATTCACAGTAAAGGAGGATTGTCCTGTCTGCCATTTAACATGATTATCCCAAAGATGTGATTTGGAAAATGTATTGATGGAGGAAGAAAACACACCAGGAACAGAAATGAAGGATGCAAGGTTAAAAAAAGAAGCAGCAGCAGCACCCTTCGGTGTAATTGTCAAAACCACCAATTCAGTGTTGGTAAGTGCAGAACACATACATGGAGAGGCAACCCCAACTCCCCAACTCCCTATGTGCGTTTGGGCTATAAATTAATTACGATTTATTATAGATAACGCTGCAGAAACTACTACTCAGTGCCAAGGAAGTGCAAAAAGGGAAAAACAACTTTAAAAACTATTTGGAATGGCATGGAAAATAGAAGAGAAAATGTGTCATTACATTGTTTCACACCTGCATCTTGAGTACTGTTTGCAGTGCTCACCCTCCTCTTTCTGTAAGAGCTTAAAAGAGAAAAGAAGATACAGGGAAAGAGAGCAGAGTTACTTCCACTGCTTCTCACAGTGTAAAACCTGGGGTCAAGAGGAACCTTTTCAGAGGGAGCATGTGCAGCTGTGAAACTCAGGCCCATGGGACACTGTGCGCCAAAAGAACATGTGAGATCAAACTCAACTGAATGAATGCCACAGAAGAAAATCAGTGTTATTTAACATTCAGCATGGTTTGTGCAAAGAACAGTTTCAATGCTGCGCTGTCTCTTCTTTTTCCAGTGAGTGAAGCAAGAGGATTATTTGTACTTCAGCCTCCTACCTTCAACCTCTCGAACACCCATCACACTGTGACATTTAGGACATTTCTTCTCAGTACAGCCAGTACTGAGCTCTGTACTCCCATGTTGTTGGAAACAGGAGTTGTCTTACCTGTGGTAGGCAGAAGGTCACATTGTGAACGCTGTAAGGAACCCAACAATCTAGGAAAGCATTGGCTTCCTCAATTTGAGATAGTGGTATACAATCACTTCTTTTAAGGTAACAGCCCAATGATTTAGTACTAAGTGGGTGTCTGCTGCCATAATAATGAGGCTACTGAGAACATTTCTAGCAAAATGTCCATTATATTGCTTAGCTAAATCATACACTTGCTTTATCTAGAATTGCAGCTGCTGTACAACATAGCGTGGCCTGTGCAATGGTTACACACTATCTTCTGTCCGGCTGTGAGAAGTGTCCTTCCTCTTTATCTCTTCTGCTATTTCCTATTCCAGCTCTGGGAAATATGTTGGATCTTCTTCATCCTTCCCCTCTGGTCAAGCAGCTTACATCTCACCGGGTGTTCCTCCAGTTTCTTGTGGGAGGCTGGGAAATAGTCTCCTGAGCTATGAGTGGGCCTCTTGAGATGCCACAGCTGAGGTTTGATGGCTGGTGGTGACAAAGGAAGAACAAGGATAGTTACCATGACTAGCATTCACTCGCTGCTGGGCAAGAAATCAATTCCTTGGAAGCTGCATCCATCCCACCCAGCACAAGCCTACCTGTGCAAAGGAGGGTTCCTCAGCCTGAGAGCCAGGACTCTTTTGGGTTAATGGATAGTTACAGAGGGTTAGGAAAGGTTCAGGTGGGAAAAAAGATCACAGCATCACAGAAGGGTTTGGGTTGGAAGGGACCTTAAAGACCATCAGTTCCAACCCCCTGTCACAGGCAGGGACATAAATCATAAATATATATGTAAAACTCTTGAATGAAACACAGACACCTCCAAAATTGAAATTTGGGCAATTAAACCCTTTAGCATACTCGATCTTGAAATCATGCCCTTATTCCAACACCCCAGAAGATTATATCAATGCAGGTGAATGCTAAGGAATGAGCTCAAGGTTGGGACACGACAGTTTAGACCGAAGATGAAAGTGCCAAAAGTATAAATGAAGAAGAAACATTACACTTACCTAGCTATATGCATATAGCTAAACATCACACTGTTTTCAAAATACCATTGAACGAGGTCATTTTAAGGCAATAAATACAGATTAAGATCACATTTCCTAGAATACAGGATGAGGTGGATCTGAAGGGTTTCATATGATTTTCCAGTAAACTACAGGTCATTGTGAAAGTCACAGGTGGGATACAAATGAATTTGACTGGTCTCAGCTTCTTGACTCTGTTTATTTGAATCTGTGCCTTGCTTTCTTACATCTTCATGTAGATAGAATAAAAAAATCCAACATGACCAAAATGTATTTGTCTTCTGCTTAGTTATTATTTGCAAAATAATCAACTAATAAGTCAATAATTAGCGTGACAAACACTTTAAAGTCATTGCTCTGAGCATGAATCCTAAGCAGCAAAAAGGATTCCCCTGTGTGAGCTAGCTAACATCAAACGCTAGAACAGTTACACTCTCATCTTGGTAAACTCTTAAAGTGATTAATCATACTCTAAAATGTCCTGGGAAACAAAAAACCTACGGATTTCATAAACTTCAGAGGTCCACATCCAGATTTCTGCATAGTCATAATCTTTCCTATTCTCAACTAGACTAGATTGACATTCTTTAGAAGCTTGAAAAATATCCAGGTGAGCTGCTGCTCTTTGAAGCCCATCCACTTTTCAGATTAATTTCATTTTCTGTACTCAGCATGGACTCAGCCAAACTGTTATTGGATTTTCCACTGTTCAGCATGGGGAATATTTATTGTTAACTGGAATTTTACTGAAGTTGTTGCCAGCAGAGTTGACTTGGCTAATAGGTTTAAGGGGGTTTATCCAGGACACTGGTGGTGCTGTTTATCATCTTTATACAGGAGCTGACAAATGTGTCCATGACATCGAATTTCTTCAGTGTTTAGTGATTCAAAGTGATGGGGAGAAGACTCTCTCAGAGCTCTAGAGACTGGTTCCCAGATTTCTCACTCAATTCTCACGTGACCTGGACTATAACATTCACCCCAGCTTCTCCACATGTAAAATGGGAATAAAAATGAGCATAGTTGCCTCACAAGGTTTCTGCTGGCTTCAATCTGTTATGATTCTCAGGTGCTTCATGCATGGAGTGATGTATTACAAGTTCCTAACCTTGGTGCTGCTAAGGCTTGAATTTCCCTTTTTTCATTTAAGGAAATAATTCCTTTTTAAAGATCATGGCTACCATCAGTCAGTGAATGCAGAGAATAGGTCTCACATCCCTGCTTGTTTTTTCCCTTCCTTACACCCCAGCAGTGGCTGCAGCTGTGCCTGAGGAAACAATCTGCTGAGGTGGTGGCTGTGAAGGAGCATCACGCCATGAACAGCTTGGAGAACAGAAACATGCTACTGCACATCTATATACAGAGCCACACCATACCGCATCTGCTGGCACAGCAATCACTGACAGTAATACCTGTAGTAAAACTTTTTAAGGACTTTGCTTGAAGTTTGGGGTTTTTTTCTTTGTGATTTCTTGTTATCTTCCTGCAGACTTGCTCTTTCTTTCAGCTATTGTTAATTATACATATATGAACGGCCTGCATATGCACATGCAAGAAAATATCTTGTTCCCACTAAGCCGCTATTTTGTGTAACTGCTCCATATAACCTCCCTTTCTTCTGACAGGTGTGTGGGACAAAGATGAAGGGACTGAGAAAATGGTTATGATGGCGAAATAGAGACAGCAGGACTTGGTACATTTGTGCAGGGAAGGGCACAAAAAGCTATGATTCACCCCATAAAACAGCCTTACTTTTTCCCTTCAGCATCTATGTCCACATGATAAAGGCCCAAATTAACTTGCCAATTGAACATAAATAGTTTGTGAAGCCTGCACTGCAAGGCAGAAAACATAAGGTATTTATCACAGAATCCCAGAGTTGTTTGTGTTGGAAAGGATCTTAAAGCTCACCCAGTTCCAACCCCCTGCCATGGGCAGGGACACCTTCCACTAGGCCAGGTTGTTCCAAGCCCAATCCAGCCTGGCCTTGAACACTGCCAAGGAAGGGGCAGCCACAGCTTCTCTGGGCAAAAAAGCCCACCCTGCCATGCAGTAAAGACCATTAAAAACAACAGTTCATTTGTTCAACCCCAGTGAATGGGTTTAACCAGTGAACGGATTTAACTTGTTTACTGTGATGTGTAGAAGTCATGCCATACCTGGAGAAGCCATCTCTTCATGTCCATCTCCCAGACAGTAGGTACTGTGAGTGCCTTATTCTAAAGCTGTGCATATAAGCAAATCAAAGTGAGGTGGTACTGACTGACCTGGCAATGTAAGGTGGTTTGCTGAGGAGCCAAAGCCTGGGAAATCAGCTGAACATCGTGCTGGACCTTTAAAAAGAAAGCACAGTTTCAGCAGAGATGGATGAACCTGAGTTCCACCAGCCATTCAAATGCTTTTTGTAGCATGGCCACCACTGCAAGGTGTTTGTTTTCCTTCTTCCATTTCTTATCCATGGTTTTAGGTGAGGCTAACTGGCAACATAGCCTCACTTTTGGGGACTTTTCCATCTAAAGGAGTCAATACCAAACATATCTTTTTTCTTTGTACTCAGGTATCTCTTACACTTACCAGGGTTTGGGTTGAGATACCCGAGTTATTGATTCTGGAAGTTCCACAGAAGTTTTGGATCTCTGAACTGCTGTCAGATGCCAGACAGCTTTACCTCCAGCTACCTCCGTGTCCCACAGAACTGGAAAACACCAGTTTTATTGCCCAGCATGGCTCTGAAGGCAGTTATACAGCACTTACCTTGAGTCTGGGGTGGTTCTGCAAGCAGCTGGCATCACTTTAGGAGCCACCAGTTGGTAATGGCTCCAGACATTTGTCACTGGTGGTTCATGCCAGAGAAAGGACTCTGATACTGTATTTGCAAGCAGAGGTGAGTCACCCAAATCATTAGATGCCTTTTCTCAACCATCTTTTCTCCCTTCTTGCTTCTGTGGCAGTCAGTGTTTTTGGTTTGAAGATGACAGTCAACTGCATCAACACCCTCAATGTCTATTAGAAAGTGGCAGGTTGTTTTCATCTCTACTTGCACTGGACTGGAGGTACTTGCAGACTCAAACCAAGCCAGTAAGGCATAAGAATGCAAGCAGATTGAGTGCTGAGCACATTGCATGTTCTTCAGGATACCAGTGAACCTCCCAGAGAGGAAAGGAGTGATTTAAAACTGAAATTTTAGGCAAAACAGAATGAACAAAAACTTTCACGCTTGTATTGAACATCCCTGAACTGCACGTCCTCCTTAGAGAGAATGGCCTGGCCTCTGCCTCTCTTCATCATGATTTTTTCCCTTTCTTAAGGAAAAGATCAAATAGCAAAACAGTAGATGGGAAAATTCTGGTCATTGCTTGTGTGGTGTGGTGACCACTGCACAGACACTGCCTGATTCTACCTGTGGTGTAAGGTACTTTGTAGAAGGTGCTATGTAGAGATGTAGCTATAAGAGGTCTCTAAGAAATATTGGAGCCCAGAACACCAGCCCTGTGGGATTGATGCTCATGCTTCAAGTGGCACAAGAGAAAACATCACATAATCAACTGTCTGAGGGGGCACGAGTGTGGTGTGCTGTTGTTGGGTTAGATGCTCTTCCCTGCTCTGATTTTAGTGAACAGAGAAAAGGGTGAGGGTGAGGTTGGCATGTCTAATCCCCAAACAGGCAGAGATTTATTGGGGTCCTTAAATAAGCTATATAGTTTCCCTGTGTTTAGATATTATGTAATTCTACTAAATCCTCCTCACAGGGGCAGGGGCTGAGCAATGACTGCTGTCCAAGCAATGTTCCCACTAAATTATTACTAGTAATCTGTGGGGAGCTGGACACTGGAAAGCAAATGACAAGTGCCATGCCTAGATCAGATGTAGAAAGCAGCAGAATAAAAGGAACCCTTCTACAGCTTTAATGCAAATGGAGCGGAGACCTCGTTGGTTTATTTGATAATAAGATGAACATACATGGACTCAGTTACAGAAAAACTGGAATGTTGAGAAATGGTTTATACATTCAGAGACCACGAGCCTCTTCTTTCAAATAAGGAACTAGCAATAAATACATAGTGTTTAAAATTATTCTCACAACAGTTGAGAATACTTGACATTACAAATGGCAGCATTCATTTCAGGTTTGCATTTGTTTGTTTCCTTATGAGTCTTAAAACAAAGAGGTTGTTTTTCATTACCCTGCCCACCCAGTCCCAGGAGCAAAAATGCTGAGATATGCTCTCAGCATGCATTTTAACTTCTTGTCTAATCCCTGGTGCAAAACAGTGTAACAACCTGCCTCTTTCTTCCTTGGGAAATGGGAGAGAACAGGTTTCTGTTGTTTATTTTAGTTCAGTTCAAGAAAGGCATCTCCATTATTGGTTCTGCTAATACAAACAGACGCTAAAGTTTATGTTCAACTTCATACATAGAATTCCCTGCAGAATGCCAGCTGAGAAAAAGTTATTTTTTACAAGACCAAGATCCTTGAATTTGGTTAATTTCCCCTTATCCTCCCTACCAATAAGTTTAAATCTCTTAACATTAGTTAGGAGCTGTCACTGTAGGGTTAACCACAAGAGCAGTGGAATCTGCCCCAGATAAACCCATGCTGAAGGTAGTCAGGACGCTGGGGTATGACTCTGCAGTGCCTACAAGAAGCAGCAGCATCAGAACAAAGAGGGAGATGTAGTCTTATTTCAACACCTCGAGGTGGAAGCAGATCCTACCACAGCAAAGAGGACAGCACCACCCTGATGCATTGACTTCACACAGACCGCCCTGTGTGCAATTAGCTGTGCATGTTTAGGTTATTTCATCTTCAGCCCCAGTGGTGGGACCAGCAGGACTTTGCATGCAACTTTGATTTCACTGCAACTAAAAGAGCGATCAGGCCCAAGGTGTTATTTCGCTCCAAGCTGATGTTGCAAACACAATGGCTTTTGTCTACTGGGGAGGAGAAAAGGGAAGGGAAATATCCCTGTTAGAATCTGGGCCTGTAGACAGCCAGAAGGTCTGGTAAAAACCCAACCAGAACCCTACAATAAAAATAGCAAATATTTAAAAAAATTTCATATAAAAGTGTATAAAAAATAGCATCCAAGCAAGAAGAAAAGGAAAATACTCACTCTGTCATTCTACTGCTAGGTTTTATCACTAGAAAACCCCAATGGCCATAAGTAAGTTTGTCTGACGGATGCACTCCTACGACCACCGGCAGAGACAACAGGATTACATATATTCCTCCTACCACTGGATAGCTTCTAAACCCAGGGTGTTATGAATACACGGTAGCTGATACACATACACTTGGAAGAAACTGAAGGACTACAAGATGCCAAGAGTGTGCTGGGAGGCCTGCGAGCAAGTGCTGTTGTGCACTTAGGTGTGAGGGTAAATAAACTTGCTAAAACTGAGCTTCAGGTCCTCAATCAGCTTGCCTGAAACAGCTCCCTTTTCTTTTACCTGCTGGTCAAGTCACCAGAACAGGGAGAGCTGATGCCTTGAAGACCAACATGTGTCCCAGTCCTGCTAGGGTACAGATCAGATCCCTCTGTGCTTCTTTGGGGATCAAAAGGGACATTGCAGCAACAAGAATGCAGGCTCAGCAAGTGAGAATGCACAGCCAGTGCCTGGCATTGCCTAATGGCATTGGCAGTGGTTCTGCCTTGATCACAGTAATTGGATGGAGAAAGGTTGCCTGGGATCCCAAAACTTGTTTGCCTGTGGAAGCAGGCGGAGCACCAGGCACTGAGTCTGGAGCAAACCTGTGGTGGGTAACAAGAGTGGGAAAAATCTCTGTACCTGCTTTGAAAGGAGATGGATTGATGCCTTTATGCCATGTGAAACCATGTTTTTTCCCTCTCCTTTCTACCTGGCCAGCACTGATGCCCGCTCCGAGGAGTGATTTGCATGGAGTCAGTGCCCTCGGGCTCCTTCGCATCCTCAGCCAACTCTTCCCCCTTTTGAGTGCTGATGTTCAGACCCTGCACCAGCACAGCTCTGAGATCAGCACTGGTTCAACACATGAAAACACAAGATTGCTCTGCTATTATTAACTATTGGATTAAAACAGTAAGAGAAAAGGACTTGTTTATGCTGTCACTTGTTGAGTGTAATGGCATAGATCATTAGAAGATGATGAGTTTTATTATTATAAAATGAAATGTGAGGAAAAGGAGCCAATAAGAGATATTTAAGACCATCTCGAGTTCCTCGATATAGTTTATTCTGGTTGAAATAAAAGAACTACTATCTTGGTCAGGTTCCATCATTTTGAATTTGAATAGATTATTGTGCTTTTTAATTAAAAAACACATTTGGGACATGCTGTAGATTTTGCAAGGCCTAACAGCAAATTCGGGTGGTATTTGCCTTTAGCTAGGAGAGCTCAGCATTCTCAGCTATCTCGTCCAAAATATTGCTTCCAGACTGAGCTTGTAAGACTTTGTAAGTATATGCAAACATGTGCATATTCAAAGGGTAGTTTGCAAAACCACCGCCGTATCCCACTGCTCTCCTGCACAACCAACTACATTTTGGAAAGTTTCTCTCCAACAACAAAATTTATGCTTGAAAACAAGGAACATGGAGAAGAAGGAATCTGCCTCCTTCATTCATGCATCAGAAGCTAGGCTCCCAAATTCCAGATTCATTCTGATGATAAACTTCTTAGTGTACTAATGCACAGTGTGTTTACCAGCTGCATCTCCTACATTGACTACTCTGGAATAGGTTTTCGGCTAAAATGGTAACATTTTTTGGTTTTTTTAAATTTACCACCTATTTTATCATCAGCAAAAAGAAAAGTTCTCTTCTGGCATCTTTTTTCTCCAACATGGAAAAGATTAGTGACATCCATAATCTTTTTATAATTAAACATAGAAATCTGATCATATAACTTTGGAAATAATAGTATCTGTGTAGTCTGTAAGGAAAGCTGCTTAATTTAAGCATTTTGAGAGGGTGCATCACAGGCTTTTACATTTGAAACAATAAACAAATCCCTTATTTCCCATGTGTGAACGCTTCTCACTTGCTGTCACAGAAACACATAGCTCGAATCACGGACTGAGTGCAGTGCAGAGAACTGGCACCTTTGAGCCGCTTGAATAACAGTATACAATGAGGGTGGTGAAACCCTGGCACAGGTTGCCCAGAGGGGTGGGAGATGTCTCATCCCTGGAAACATTCGAGGTCAGGCTGGAAGGGGCTCTGAGCAACCTGGTGTAGTTGAAGATGTCCCTGCTTATTGCAGGGGGGTTGGATGAGGTGACCTTTAAAGGTCCCTTCCAACCCCAAGCACTACATCACCATGAGTCAAAGATCTGCTAGCTCCCCGAACACC